CAGACCCGACTGATCCGCACACAAAGTACTCGCTGAAGACGGGGAGGCGAAAGGAAAAACAACATTTCGACAAGCTGTGGTGGAATTAAGGCGAAACAACTATGCCGCCTTTGTTCTGTGCCAGTGACACTCAGAGGGAATCGCGGAGTCTTGAGAGGTTCCCCTGAGACGGTGTTTTCAACCCCTCTCGAGCGACTACAAACCGAACATTCTGACGAGCTCCCCTCAACGCCTCACGCTACTATCTAAGGCCCGTTCAGAAATATAAACAACAAAATCCCATTTAAAAGCAGCCCTGCTCTGACACTGGGAGCCTAAAATGGCATTATCTCCGGGTAAAAAAAATAGTAGTTTGTTAAGATTTACTCTTAAAATATATATGTGATCTAATTCAAAGCGCGCTCCTTAGTCCCTCTCCACCTGCACATCAACCACTTTTCCTGTTGTCTCGCACACAATTTGCTCTCGCAAAGCCCCCGCATGTCAGTCTAGAATTAACATAATATGCCTGGGTAAAAGTGACTTATAAACATGTCTCAGTCTCCGCTGCAGCCCCTCTCAAACCTACAGGGAGAAAAATAACCCAACATGTTTCTGGGAGGAAACATTGCTAAGAAACACAACTACAGTGACCATACCGACAAAGGAATGAAATTTGTATTTTAATTATTTGGCGGGTATGTTGTCCGCGTTCCTCGGCTGCCAGTCTCGAGGGGAGACTGTCATGATGGCTCAGCACTTTCCTAACCGCCCCGCAATGACCTCATAATGACCTGCGTGCCCCCACCTCCAATTACATCATTTTGCGGTGGAGCAAAAGCGCCTCTCGGGCTAAGATGATATATAAATAAATGTGGTTTCAACTGAATCGGTGCCCCCATGGTCGTGCCTCTCGCGGAGATTAGTTGGTTGTAAATACCAAATATCACGCGCTGAACCTGCGTGTAATAAATCCACTCACTTTAATCTTCAAATAAGTTTTTTAATGCGCACAACGCGATGCATATGTATATATAATACATTGCATGTAGAGCACATATGTATAATCGATTAAAAGTTTGCTTCTATAGTCCAAGCAAGTTTTACATTTTACTTTCATGGTAATTACAGTTTATTTTTAAAAACGTATTTTAATGTATTTGAAAATGTGTTTGTAATTGTAGCTGACTAGCAAACATGAATATAAACTTAGTTACAACAAACACTTTTGTACGTTACACATTTTTCAAAGGCAAAAACAAACAATGATGAACAAACAACAAACAGATGATACCAGGATATGTGCACTCACATTTAATTAATTTCTTTTAGAAATGGACAGAAATGAATGATCAGTCCATTTGCAAAAAAATAAAGAAAAAAAAAAAGTGAAGCAAGTAAAAGGCCAGAGGGTAAAAGAGGAGGGTTCAGTTACCTGGACTTTGTGCAGTGGGAAGCAAAGCCCCCAGCCCATGGCCCTCTGAGTGCACTGAAAACAGGAAGCCACTTTTGTGCCTAAACTCTGTAAATCCGCTGCATGCTCCATCACCTCTACAAAATGCCCCTCCGACCCTTCAGCGGCCGCAGAATAGAGCCAAATGGACGGCAGGACAATCAGGGAGGGTTTATCTCATCGCAAAATAAGGTAACTTATTGCCTAAAGCTTAAGGAGACAATGGATATTGATGATGTCATCTCTTTGTGAGAGATTGATGAAGCATAAGACAGGAGTCTCGGTGTGTGTGTGTGTGTGCTGGAATTCTTTTCACTACATAGTTCTACTTTTATTTAGTTAAACAGAAAAGGCATTTTTTAAGTAATAGTAGACACAGATTAGGAATTTTGAAGTACACATGTGTCTGAAGACTGCAACAGTAATTACATTTTACAGTAGAATCAAGAAACCTTTTGTGTGTGTGTGTGTGTGTGTGTCTGTGTTTGCATATGTGTGTATATTTGTGAATGGGCGTTTGTGGTTAAAGTGTGTATGTAAGAGAAAGGAACAGTCTGAATATGGATATTGTGAATGTTCATATCACAGCGTGTGTGATTTTGTGTTTGTGAAATGGAGAGAGAGGAGGAGATTAAATATAAAAATATGCATGTGAATGTTGCAGAATGTGTGTGTGTGTGTGTATATGGACATTTGTATATAAAAGTTTGTGTGTCAATGTGAACATGTAAGAGAAGAACACAGACTGAATGTGAATGTGTGCATGTGACAGTGTATGTGTGTGTGTGTGTGTGTGTGTGCGTGCGTGTGTATGAGAGGGACACAGCCAGAGAGAGAGAGTGCATGCATGTGTGCTAGACATTCCTGAGGACTGTTATACAATGCGCTGGACATGGTTCAGATGGCAGTGAAGCTGAGCGCTCTCTATGAGCGTGGCAGTACACTGCCCTGCACGTAAACATAGAGCACTTGGGATCACAGGCCCATACGCCCCCCACCCCAATTCGCTCTTCATCCCCGAGGGTCCCTACGTTTCCCCAAATTCCCCTGGTGCATCTTTTTTGGAGTTGCTACTTTCTCATCACTACACGCCCCCCCCCCCCCCCTTTACCATCACCCCTCCCCTCCCCACACACCAGTGCAGGGACCCACAGGGTTGATGGTAGGGTCCACAATGTGCCCGTTGTATGGTCTCTGTCAGCCCTCTCAAATAAGGCTTCCTGTTCATTAGACATCCTTTCACCTCCACACAATGCCCCGGTCCTGCGGCGTTGCAGGGTGGACGCCCATCTCCTCAATGCCGTGTGAATGGCTCTAAATGGTGTTTATGCAGGGCATTGTGGGCCTTTGTATGGCTGGTCTTAATGCTTAGTGATTCTGTCGCCTTTGTGGCCCACATGGGACACTTTATCTCGCCTGTGTGGCTTGAGATGCATGCCCCGCCCATTCATGGCCCCGCCCATTCAGCTCGGCTTAAAAAGTTAGCTTCGCACGGCGGACGGTGCTGCCCCCACCCCTCCGCAAAAAAAGTGAAAAAGCTCCTGGGCCCCCCAGAGGTTTAAGCCTGAAAAATGCTTTCTTTAGGAATGACGTACTTTCATGTTTTTTTTTTCTAATTTTTTTATTTTTGTTTTGTCGTCGTCGTTGTTGTTGTCTTACGGTTGTGCAATAACTGGGTTTTGGTGATCGCTGAAATTTACAATATGTTGCGTGAGACTTGGAAAGGAAGAAAGAAAAAAATCTGAGGTTATTTATAGGTGAATTCCTTATGAATTGGCTGTAGTTTTCCAGGTAAATACAAAGTGAGGGAAAACAAAACAAAAACAAAAGTAAAACAAAGTGCTGGGAGAATAAGGTTTCCTGATATCATAACTGGGTGAAGCTACCACATGCTAGCAGTACCTACCTGAGCTGAACCAATCATTGTGCTTTGCTGTGAGGAGCAAAACATTCTGGTTGGTTGAAAAACTGTCAGTGATAGACAGCTCATTGTAGCTCCACCCATTATGGGGTTCATGAAGCTTCATTCCCTCTTCAATAGGCAGGTATTACATAACATAGTTTTACCTGAGAAATGCGTTGGAACATCTCTGTTTCATAAACATAGGCTTGCTACCTCTGAATAGTTCTGAAATATTGCTGGGAAAATGATGGAGGTGGCTCCGCAGGACTGACACAGTTCCCTGAACAAATTCAACTCTGTGTCGGGCGCAGATAATTTCGGAAACCTCCCATGCGAACAGGATAATTAAAAACGCAGAACAAAGGTGCGACCGGATAGCTTTGTGTTCGTTACACTTCCCCGTGACTCTCTCTTGTCATTTCTCTCTGCCACGTGGCTGAGGTTTTTCTGCCTCAGCCCGTTTACGCCGCGGTTGCCCGTGCCTGCGTTCCCGCTATCTTTGTTCGACGAGCCTGATGGGTGTAACGGCCTGTTTTCCGTTTTTGCTGGGAGACTCGGTCCCCCAACAGCTGGAAGACAGTGCTTTTCAAGTTGAAACAATCAGGATGGAAAGATAAGTCTTTCCTTTTTTTTTGCTCCCCGCAGATATGATGGCAGCAGGGATCAAGTTAAAGTTCAGAAAAATACAACATTAGATCCTAAACAGACTCACGCTGAACAAGGCTGGATTTTTTTTTTTTGGGGGGGGGGGGGTAATAGACATATCTGCTTCATCCGCTTGTAGCATTGTTATAGGACTCATACATCGCCCCTTGAGTGTAATCAATAGGGCCTGCCTTTCTCTCTGTGGATGGGCACACAATAGCGGAAGATATTTGCAAAGAGGATAACATTATACCCGGTTCAAAAGCGTTAGTGGGGAGGAATGTGAGGCTCTTCTCCATTCAAAAAGCGCTTTTACCGCCGGCCTGTGATTACAGGTTAAGGATGTAACTGATAGCGAGTGCCATTATTGTTGGGAGGTTTCACGTGCTCGGGTCCTTCTTCCCCGCAGTCATCTCTTGCCGAGGGAATTTGCGGTCCGGTTCTGAGCACGAGGGAACGGAGCCCTGTACTGCTTCTCAAGGCTATCCCCCTCGCAGTCCGGGAGTTCTTGTCCATGAGCTAACTGTAAGGCTGACACCCCACTGGGTTGGTGGGGGGGTGTGGTTTGGGTATACTTTTAAGTTGGGTGTGATGGTGATGGGGGGTGGGGGGGAGGGTTGTGATAGTTCTTGAGTGATTTCTGACTAGCTCTCGTGGACTGGAACTAAGCAAAGTCCATGAAATTTCTTTAAAATAATTTCCTCGACAGGGGATACAATTCTGGGACAGCCACAGAAAGTACTGGGTGGTTGGCAACTCCTTGCTAACCCCAAGATGAGCACACCATAACATTACTCTGTGATCATCAACAAGCTTGGGGTGCCTCACCCTGGTCTTCACTCAGGATCTCAAACACAAAAACAGGTATGCTCCTCTGTTGAGGTGTCCCACTGAATAGAACGTTTCTGTCATTTAGCTGACACATTTATCCAAAGTGACTTACGTTGATTACCCTAACCAAGGGCCAATCCCTCCTCAGACACCTTGCTCAGGGGCCCAACAGCAATGGTGTTGTTGCCGTGGCTACAATGGGGCTTGAGCCACGACCTCAAGAGTCCCGGTCATGCACCTTAGCCACTAGACTACAGGCGGCCCCCACTGGACTACAGGCTGTCTATATACATATCCTACCTCTCACAGTTGTGATTAAAAAAAAGTACTGTGCCTGAACATCACCTGGTAATGGCCCCCTAAAACCATCAGGTGCTTAAGATGAAACGTGTCCATAAAAAAAGCATGCTAGAATTAGGAATTAGGAACTTTGAAAGGGACTTTATCATGCTAAAGAATGAGTGTGCGCATGTGACGCTCCTGGCTAATGTTTTCATTAAGTGCGCCCTTATCAAATAATGAAATGAGAAATCTCTCTCCAGCCAAAATGCTATTACCTCCCCATTCAAGTGGTTTTTCCACAGAAATATCTTGTTTTCTTCCGCAATCAATTGGGAGTGATTTGCATTACTGAATTTCTATTTCATGTGCAATTGTTCTTCCGTAGCAAGCAGTACAGCACAATGAAAACTCCTTCAGGTTTTGTCTTTGTGTTGCCATCAAACCGTTTTTTTCCGTTGGATATCAGTGCATGAGCATTCCTGCTGCTAACTCGGAAATTGTCGCGCATGGAATAACTTTGTTTAATAGAATGAAAAAGTGCGGTATTATCTCGAGAATTCACTCGTGCACAGCTAGATGGAGAAAGAGCTCATATTCTGTCAAAGGGAAGAGAGGGCATGGGTGGAAATTAATGAGAGGTAAAATCTGAAATTGTTTTAAGAAGCTTTTTTTTTTTACTCACATGTAGAGTTATTATTGCATGGAATCGGGCATTAGCACTGACGTACACTCTTGAGGTTTTCAATACCAGATTTGATGCCAATGGATGGACTTTAGACTGTAATCAAAATGATGAGCTCCGATGGGCATTCACATTTGTTATGTCCCCTATGCTATTTCACAGGAATCCAGCTTTCCACATTTAGTTGCTCGTTTCAATCAGGAGTCAATGCATAGGCTAACTCAAATTAGCGGCAGCTCCACTGCGGCAAACATCGTCCGGACCACTCCTTAGCGCACGGACCACCTTGTTATCCATGCAAACACTGATTCTTGCAGCAGTGGCTGCAGCTAAAAAGGGATACGAAAGAAATCTAACGCTTCAAAAGCGCGAGGAGCAGAGACAATGTATGCAACCTCACCATTGATTTTAAACTGTTACATTAATATTCACACTGTTCCCAATCACTGCGGGTCCAGGCTCTGCATGATTTGTTTCCATTGATTAAGTGACAGTCCCTCCCCCCAGGCATCTCATAGCAAAATTATTAATACTTATTGCATTGATATTATATCTACATTAACAACAATTCGTCCGAGCCGTTGGTGATTGCGAAGTGGGCGACGCCATAGGAGGGCACCTTTCCGTGACTTTCGGAACCAAGCGCTTTTAATCAGAGGCCGTTTTGAAGGAAGGAATCTTTGCTTTGAATCAATCTTCATTGACAGGGAGTCAGGGGTCCTGTGCATTTTAACAACACTGGGGAGGGGGGTTTGCTGTACATAGTTAAGCTCTTTTACAGAACTCCCCACGGAAATGCTAACGCGCAGGTTTACAGACTGGTATGTGAACAAAAACGGAGTAAAAATAAGAGTGCTACCAAGTAAAGTCACTCAATAGGGTTTCAAGCCACCAGGGGTGGCCAGTATGGCCGGCATAAACATTGGCATGGAGTCCGGTGAGTCTGTCAGCGCTCAGTATTCTGCAGAAGCCGAATGTGATAAACACACTTCCAATAGATAGTCAATCGACTCGCGCTCAGTTGGTGGAGGTGGCAAATGCTTTTGTAGGCATCGTTCGTTCTAAAATGCCATATAAATGCTCGATTGGGCCCAGGTCTTGGGAACTAACTGAGAAGGCCGTGATATATGAATAATTTAACAGTGTCATGCTCCTGAAACCACTGGGCGGCTACTCATGCCTTGTCATCCCGAAAACCACTCCTCTCTGCAGAGAAGAGTGCTCCGATGACATGGGTTCAAGATGGTTGCTTAGTACCAGTAATGATTTATGCTAACCTTGCCTTCTAAGGGTTTGAGCGTAGCCAAAAATTAGAAAAGAATTCTTGCTCACTGCTGTTTTGCTCGGTTTTTGTCTTAACAGCCCAAACTTTTGTCTTTGCTTACAGGGGATATTGAATAAATCATCAGGGGAATTGTTTTTTTTTGATGATTTTCTGTTGTTATTTTCCCCCCATGTGTAAGGATGTGGGTATATATCAGTGTGTAGTGTTAAATAGCGCACACCATAACCAAACCTTCATCACATGGGACTTGTGAAAAGAAGGCATTATCACCTAATTGTGTCCTTTAATGGCTCTAGTTCCCTGTGTTTTTCAGAGGCCATGAGAATCTGTGTAGACGGATTTTGTACGGAGTGGAAACGGAGGCGTCCGTGGTAGTTTAGGACAGTGTCCGGGGGCCTAGGTGACAGTGGGGGTTATCAGAGTAGACAGCTCCGCTGTGTGCTGCTGACAAGCTCAAGCAAAATCAGACTGACCTCCAGTCTGCCTGGGGACGCAGCAGATGTACGGATAGGCCTTACCCTGCACTCTGAACTTATCTGTGTCTGGGAGAAAAACAGTGCATACAAACACACACGGATGCAAGCATGGACAGTGACAAACACTAACAGGTGCACACACAGAGGCAAACGCGCTCATGCATGCGCTCACACACACATGCATGTACGCGCACACACACACACAGACTCACACATGTATTCACATATACACACAAAAACACACACACACACTTTTAGACACACACACGCAAACATACACACTCAAAGCCAAATTCATGTGCCCACACACAGAAAAGTCAAACACACATGCAAGCCCTCACATAGTCATACATCACGGTGACATATGAATGACCTCATCAGAATGCGTGACACTTGCAGCACCATGGTTACAGGTTCGGCAAAGTGAAAGGCCTGCATCACATCAAGCAGAGCATCTTTAACGCGGGTCCATCCGGCTCTGAAAACGTTGAGAGGGAGAGAGAGAGAGAGCTTTACACAAACGCACGCATGTGGATTCGTTTTAAGGAAAAAACCGAACACACTGGAGGAAAATCCATTTATCTTTAAACCCTACTAAAGAAGATCGCCGGGGGGCTTCTTGTGATATCCGCCATAAACTTTTCAACCCAAAAATCCACCACAAACCAAAATACATGTCACTACTCCCACTGAAAGCATTGATCATCGGGGCATAGCCAATATGGCGTATTATCCATTCCAGAGTCTATTCTATAGGCTGCTTATGGAAGCATATTTGCTTAGGGCAGCCATGCAAATTATTACTTACTGCCCTATAAGCTGATAACACAAATTAGATACCCATTAAACGTGAACAATGTATATAGAATTTTAAAAAGATTGCAAGCGATATTTGAAGCGATGCCAAAGTGGCTTGTTATTAAATATGCCTAAAAGCCGGCAGACTTTTAAAAAGTGCAGAAAAGATTTTTATCCCGGTAGCACATGCTCGGCTGTAACTTGGATCCTAGTTCATGTTTATGAATGGAAGTGATTTAGACAGCTCAGAAAAAAAGGGCAAAATTGTTTAAAAAAAAAAAAAAGAAAACATGCCAACAAGGACAAGTGATTTCAGTTTAATTTCTGGCAAATACAAACCCAAACCTCATGACTTCATGCTTTTTGGTTGGGTTAGTAATGGTTGGCCAATTCTTATAAAATCTGGGCCATACAGTATGTATTTTGAATGTCAAGATCAAAGATCAAAGAGTTTATTGTCACATTTATAGCAAAGTTGCAGATAGCAACATTGTAGGCAAAGAAATTCTTTATCTTCGGTTCCCCATTAAATAAATATATACAAGCATACAAGAATTAAAATGAACAAAATAGAAAAAGTAGCAGAATAAAATAAGATACAGATAGAATACACTGTTGCCAGTAATGAAATATTATGATAAATATTATAATTGCTTCTTATTGTTCAGAGGCAGATGTGAGGGCAGGAGTGTGTTATATGGGGATAACTGTCCAGCCTCGGTCCTAGCTGCACACTTCACTTGGAGCTCAGCATACGAGTTTATGAGCGCATGCAATTCTCAGTGTCCTCTGCTTTTTAAAAAAAATACAAAGGTGTTACCAGTCTATGATTTGTAACAAAACCTTGGTTTCTTATTAATTGTTTACTTGAGACTGGCAGCTGAAAATTATATGTATGTAATGCAATGTGCACACCATGTTTTTTTTCCACACATCTGGATTCCAGTGAACTTGTTTTATTTATTTGTGCAGTATTGATGATCCAGATGTAAACTCGGTCAGGGATTCTCATATCATACTCACCTTCAGTCAAGTTAAGAAAATGCATCCTTTGTGACTTGCTGCACTTTTGTTTAAATGCATACTGTTCAGTGTACACTGTCAGTATTTCATTGCTTAGTGTGGTCTGGATAACTGATTTTAAACCAACACCTAGTGAAGTGGATAACACACATACACACACACACACACACACACACACACACACACACACACACACACACACACATATGCCCACACCACATTTATGGGTAGTTGTAGAGGAAAAGGGCACTGTTTACTCTGTATTAGCATGCTGACAGGCTGCTGTTTAAATGTAACATGCTATATTGAAACATGCACTCTCCAAGTTGCTTAAGTTTGATCTTTATTACTGTCGTACTGTCACCCAAGCCCTAGCCTCTGAAGAGACACACTGGACAATTCACAAACAACATACAATACATGTGAACATGTGCTAATATGTTTTCTCAGCACTAGAATTAACAGAGGTAGGCTCTAATCATTTTATTTAAATAGTTACTCTCTTTATTGTGAAGCACTTCAAGCTACAAATATGTTTTAGGATAGTTGCCATATAAATAGAATGAATTATTGTTTTATTTTAGGTAGGTAATATAATACTTCTAGCCATTTGTTGTTTCATGGGGGTTTTTTTGGATGGGGGGTAACCACTAATGTTATTAGAAACACACATTTGTAACAGCCATACATTTTGTTGTGTTGAAGCTAAGCTGTAGT